ATTTATTGGGTGGTTAAACCAATATGTCCTCCTCTGATTGATCCAGCTTGGCCTGCTGATAACACGTCCAACCTTCTGGAGATCAAATTAATTCTAAACTTATGTTTTAATTTAATAACAAGTTTAAAATGCTAATAAAATGATATTTATGTTGTAATACTTCAGTTTGACCACAGGAGGGCGACTTTTAATCATCATCAGATTAACCTGCTGTGGTGCTCTGTTCAATGTTGCTTCTACTGTTTGGATAAAAATGCTTTTGTACACACTATATTTGAACATGTTTTAATAATATAAATACTTAGCAATAAATCAAGAATAAAAAAATATATATTTATATTTGTAACTCTGAAACGCTCTTGTGGGCACCTCATGATGCTGGTGGAGCATCCACAGCTGTTTACTCCGGAGGAAACTGTGAAACTTTGTGAAAGGACTCGGATACGAGTCAGTGATGCTCACTGCTGACTGATGACAGCCGCACTGAGATGCTGAACCTTTCTGTCAGTAAGTGCTCCCGGTTCTGCCTTTCTTAGCTGCTGTTAGCCTCCGTTAGCTGCTGTTAGCCTCCGTTAGCTGCTCTTAGCAGGCGATGTCTTTGAAGTGGCTCAAATGTTGTTAGTGACTCGGACACTTAGCTGTAAGCTGCTGCAGTGAAGTGTTTTCTCTGACTCCTCCCCTCATCTGGTGGCGTTTCTCTTTGATTTCTAACATTAAATGTAAAGAGTCGCTTTAATGTCGGTCCCCTCGTGTTCGGTTCGTTAGTCTCTTCTGTGCCGTGACTGCTTTTTCTTCTTCACTGTTTTGATGTTTTTGATATTTTGTGACTAATAACAAATAAAAATCAGTAAAAATCATTTTGTCAGCTTTGTGTTGCTGAGCTGAAGAGCACCTGCAGACATGAAAAAATGACCTGTAAGGAAACTGCCGACACTTGAACATTTAAATTCAAGAGAAGCAGATTTCTTAAGTTGTGCTCACTGAGTCTCAGCAGGTGAAGGTAGTGACGCTCTCATCACAGTCGTCCACATGCGATCACGTTGAACTTGTTTCTGACACTTTTGTGGATGTTTGAATGTAACACAGTGATTAATAAACAATAACACAATGTTTATTAAACACATTTAATTATTCTGTGAAATTAATTTGACCTGAACTGAAAAAGAGAATTAAAAAACAACGTACCTCAGTCTGAGTCTGTGTCGTCATCGAGTCTATGACATCAGTTCCTGTTTGTCCCACCACGGTCATCATGGTGGTTAAGATACAGTACAATACAATTCTATTTATATAGCACGTTTAAAACCAGGGGGGGGCACACCAAAGTGCTCCACAGTGATGAATAAAGAGTAATTTACAGTAAGTCATTAAAACAAGGTGAAGTAGAGAAAACAAACAAAAAGCATTAATAAGCAGAGCTACAGAGAAATCATGATTATCCAGAGAAATGAGCAGCGATACAGAAATTAATGAGCGGTGAGAATTAGCAAGTGGGAAAAGCCAGGTTGAATAGGTAACTTTTCAAGCGTGCTTTAAAGGATTGCATGGAGTCAGAGGTACGATTGGTAGCAGGAAGACTATTGCAGAGGTTTGGTGCTACAGAGGCAAAGGCACGATCACCCCTAGTCTTCAGACGGTGCCTGGGCTGGGCCAGAAGCAACTGACCAGATGATCGTGAAGAACCTCTGGGAGTATAGAGACCGAGGAGGTTGGTGAGCTACTCAGGGGCAAGGTTGTTCAGGCATTCGAAAGTAAGCAGCAGAACTTTAAGATCAATACAAAATTTAATAGGCAGCCAATGTAAATCAGAGAGCACTGCAGTAATGGAGGCAGAAGACGAGCCGCAGCAGCCTGAGTCAAGACCAAGTTGAGACAAAAAGGTCTTTAAACTGCAGCCGGATGCTGCTTCGTTTACGGGTTTCAGGCATGTTTCTCTGTGCTGACTCCTTCTGAAGTCCACCACCAGCTCCTTGGTCTGACGTTCAGCTGGAGGTGGTT